TTAAAAGATGTAGTTTTAAAGTGATGGTACTTAAAATTTACTGTAAGTCAAATCATTACAAGGGCGTATAGTGCATGTAAGTTAACACCATCTAGAAAAAGACAATAAATGAATGGTAAAATCAGATTGAAAGGCCCTCCTTGCTAATTATTTTGAAACTTGCAAGTTCTTCTGTTTCCATTCTGCCAGTGCATCTCTGCGTTCTTCTTTCCACTACAGAACTCTCATGCATTTATCTTAAGATAGCTCTTGGAATAGTTTACTTAGGTGTTTTCCTTTTAAAGACTGAGACAGCATAGTGCTGTATTTCTAAGTACAGCTTGCAGTTGGTAATAGATGAGTCTATAGATAGTGCAGGTGACAGCATTTACTGTCTGACACTTTTTATGTATCTTCTAAAGTTGAGCTCCTAAGAACTACCATTCTGGCTGAGACCAATATCACTTTCTGTGACAATTTGGTATGAGTAGATTTCCAGCTGTCACAGAGGGAAAAGCACTTTTTTGCAAGCACAAATTATAAATAACAGGGAAAAATACAAATTTTAAATATTATTATAATTTACATTTATGTTTCACTATCCTGACATGTAAACAGTGTTACACCTCTAAGGGTTCATGGAAGGGTGTCCCAACACCATTAACTTGGATTATCAGTGGTGAGATAACAAAGTGGTGAGATAATAAAATCATACTTTTATTTTGCTTATGTATTATCCTTTTCTATCAGTATGTACATTTGAAAGCTTCTGTTTGAAATAATCAGGGCTAAATTTTAATTTTATAAAGTGAAAATATATTTTTGGAATTCCATAGATAATTACTTTTTAGAAATGCTCTAAATATTGAATGAGCTTTAAAGACTGTATGTTTTACAGCTTTTTACATGAAAATTCATGCAATGTAACTTTTAAATGTTGCTTTGTAAAGTGCAGAAAAGTGAATTATCACGTTCATTATGTTTAGATTGCATCCAAAGAGGCCAGAAATTCTAGATAAGCAATTTTTATTGAAATCTTATGATCTCTGTTTCAGAGCCTTGTATGGAAGAGTTCTTGTTTATTTCTGACTTTTTTAATATTGTGGAAAATAAGAGGAAGATCTCGTATGTATGTATGTATGTATGCATTGTGATCCATTCAGGTGACATTTCTCAGTTATATGTATGCTTTCTTGCCCTGGCCATTCCATCCATATTTTTTCATGCTTCTGCAGACTCTAAGTTGTGAAAGTAGATTTGATTAGCTTTCACCAGATATAAATTACTGAGGCTTAGCAATTTTTGCACAAATTTGATGTAGAGGAGAAAAAGACTGCCTATAAGACACAGACAATTATGTTAGAACCAAATGCCATTACTGGAATGTCACCTACTTTATGATTTAATATAGTATGAAGGGTGCTCCAAAAGTAATGTCTTTTATTTTATTATGTTGGCTCACAACATCAGAGGTGGATGTTGGTGGTGTGGCAGTAGACGCTGAACCTTCCTGACAATATTCCATTACAAGTTGTTGCTGGGTGATAGATGGCAGTGGAAGGGCAATCTGACAAAATGATGTCTGACATGGAAATGCATATGAAGCATGTGTGAGATTGAATTTCTCAGTGTGGAAAAAAATGGCTCTCATTGATGTTCACTGACTCTTGCTTAATGTTTATGGAGATCAGGTAGTATATATGAGCACAGTGAGGTGGTGGGTGCATCTTAACAATGACACTGTCATAGCAGCTGTGAAACAATGAGTCACCTCTGCTGTTGAAGGTTTTCATGAATTTTGCGTTTAGGCTCCTGGATATTGCTAGTGAGAATGTATAGCTAATGATGGTGACTGTGTTAACAATAGTGTTTTGTAGCTGAGAATCTGCTTTATTAAATAGAGTTATTGCGTTCTTTATGTCTTTGTACCTTCTATGGAAACAAATTGGAGGCATTACTTTTGGAGCAATGTACATGTAATGAGGAACGGACAGGATTAGCTCTGAAATTTGGGAAAAGGCTGACACAAACTTGTGGATTGGTAAGACAAAGTCATTAATTCATGAGGAAAGCAGGATCCATGTCAGTGGAGTAGTCATCATTCTTTGCTGGCATGGCAAAATGTCAAGATTCTTGGTGCCAGCAGGTTTTTCATACCTTGCGCTCTCCTTTTTTCTCAGACTAGGAAAATTTTTAGCTGCCACAGCTTAAGCTGTGAAGATTATTTGGCTGACTTTGAATGGGCGTGAAACCTGCTGTTCACCTATAGTAATCTGCTTTTCACCAGAAATGGCTGAGAGGTGTGTTGTAACACTGGAAGACAGGGGAGATAATGGCAGAGTCAAAATAGCTGTCCTGCTAAGAATCAGTGTGGAGAAGCAGTACTACATGTTCAGAAGATTACGCTGCTTGGAGGCTAAGGGTACCTTTGAGCCTTATAGGTGATTGGAATTGTAAGCTGAAATTGGAGACTTAGAAAAGGAGCAAATTATGAGCATGAATATCTTGTAACAGTTCCTTCATATCGAGGTCTTGGAGAATGGGGGAGGTGCCTGAAGACTGGAGGATAGCCAATGTCACTCCAGTCTTCAAAAAGGGCAAGAAGGAAGATCCAGGTAATTACAGGCCAGTCAGCCTCACCTATGTCCCTGGAAAGGTGATGGAACAGCTTGTGCTGGATGCCATCTCCAGACAACTGGAAGAAAAGGAGGT